CCATGTTTTGAGCACAGCTACCAGAGTTCAGTTCCTCTTTAATGTGAACATTGTTCTTTCTCACATGAGAAAACCAATGGATTCATTTTAAGGTCTGATCACCCTCCAGGGTATAATCATCTTCCCTTCACTCCCCCACCACTCTGTTCATGTGCCTGGACTGGAGAGAAGCACCTAGGACTTCCAGGTATGGGCATCACGTGACTTTCTCTCCTTTCTCCCATGACGCTGTGGACGCTTGCCTAAACATCCAATCAATAATCACCGGTGCTATTATGAGGGGGCGAGGAGAGAGTCCTTTATTCATGTGCAAGCCCTGACCAGAGCGACTTAGAGCATTGCAAGTTGAAACCTGGTCAGACAGCTAAATATACAGATGAAATACATATATGGGAGACATTTTAGCTGCCAAAGGATTTTTATTTCTGTCAATGCACTCCTGATATTGGAGGACAGCTGACATCGGTTGCTAGGACCACCCGGCAGCCCTAGCAACCACTGACTGCAGAGGAGGAGGATGTCCAATGTCACTGGTTGCTAGGACACCAGCAGTCCTAGCAACCAACAACTAAAGAGGGCCATGGATACGGACCAATCGCCGACCTGCGCTGGGCTATGGCTTGCAGTGGATGCACCGGCTTTGGAGGCCATCGCATCACTGTCAGCCAGCCAAAACTGAGCGCAGGTCGTCGATCGGTCCGTGTCTGGACCGCTGGCCAGACAAAGGGCCGGATATGGCCCACAGGCCATAAAATGACCTGATCTGCTGTAGGCAGTAACAAATTATTCTTCCAGAGGGTTAAGGAACCACAAGTCAATATTTGACAGTGATGTCCAGCAAGCTTATCTAAGCCTGTCACACCGTGTGCCTCTTTAAGGACCTATACATCACCACTGGGAGATTCAAATTGGAATGTAAATTATTTTTACATTTTAAAGCATCTAAATGTAAACTAAAATGTCGATAAAGTTTCTAAATAGCAAATCTGTCTAGAGCCCCAAATTACTAATTCTGCCCCGGTTTCCGAAGCTGTAAGGGATGCCAATATGCAAATAGCTCACTCCTGAACCAAAAACTTAAGGAGGGAGTTTATCAAAACTGGAGCAGACAAAATCTGGAGCAGCGGTGCATGGCAACCAATCAGCTTCTCTCTTTCATTTTCAGATCATAACTGAACAAACTGAAGAGAGAAGCTGATTGGTTGCCATGCACAGCTGCTCCAGATTTTGATAAATTCCTCCCATAATGATTTCATGTTTAAACTGAACCGTTTGTACGGAGCCATTTGTAATTATTACTCTGGAAGTGTCGCCTTACCTCTCAGGGGTAGCTGGTTGTTCTGTATTCTCTTCCTCTCAAAGCAGAGGTGTCAGCTTGAAGCCCCTACAAAGGTTGTCCCATCTGCCTCGACTCAGTGCCCATAAAAGTCATAGCGCTGTCAAATAACAAAGATGTTGTCAGGATTACATGGAAGAGAAGAAAGGGTTTTATTATCCTTCCTTAAAGAGAACCTGTGGCCATACTTTGGACAGTCAAATGTTTAATAAAAGCTTTACATGGAGTGAATGAGTTTTAAATAGGGATGCACCGATACTAGTATCGGTGCCAATACAGAGTATTTGGGCGAGTACTCGTACTCGCCAAAATGCTCTGATACCTAGCACGAGTACTTCCTGTATCAGGAAGCCGGGCAGCGCATCATTACACACTGCCCGGTTTCCTGATTGGCCAGGAAACAGCTCCATGCTCTCTCGTCACTTAAGATGAGAGAGCATGGAGCCGACTTCCCGGCCAATCAGGAAGCCGGGCGACGTGTACTGACGCAGCGCCCAGCATTCTGACTGGCCCGGCACGCCGGCGTCATGCTCCCTCGTCATCTCATGAATCCTAATATTAAGAAAGTGACCTTAAAGCATTAGTTTGTATTTCTTTAGAAAATATTTGACCAATTACCGATACGAAAGTATCGGTAATTGGTATCTGCGAGTACTTGATCAAAAGTATCGGTACTCGTACTCGGTCTAAAAAGTGGTATCGGTGCATTCCTAGTTTTAACCCCTTCATGACTGAGGCCCTTTTTTCAATTTTTGCACCCATGTTATATTCCACATTTTAGGTCTGAAAATGACGTAAAACCCCCCAACATTATATATTTTCTGAATGCCAAGACCCTATAGAATAAAATGGTGGTAGTTGAAAATTTTTATGTTGCGCAATATTAGCGCAACTCCTTATTAAACCCCAAAATTTAGTGACAAATTTAATTAAATGCCCCAAAACACAACAAATTACCCATTTTTTAAATGAAATATAAAAGATGAGGTTACAACGAGTAAAACGATACCCAACATGCCCAGTTTACAGATTGCGTGCGACCGTGAAACGGCGAAAAACTGCAGTACCCCAAAAAGTCAATAAAAGACGCTTTAAAAGCCCCCACAGGTCATCAATTTAGAGATACCCCAAAATACTGGCCCTAGAATTATTGCTCTCACTCCGGCGTGCGCGGCGATACCCAACATGTGTAGCGCGTTCGTCGTTTTCATGCGTAGGCGCACCCGACGCGTGTTTACGTGGCGACGCGCATGCACGCGGGGGCGGGGTACTTATAATTTTTTTTTATTATTATTAGATTTATTTTATTTCATTTTAATTTTAAAAACTGTTTTTTTTTTTTTTTTTACTTTACTTTGACTGCTATCACATGGGGGGGCTTGCAAGCCCCCCCATGTAATAGCAGATGGTGGTGACAGGTCCTCTTTAAGGTGATGCTGGGGGTCCAAAAGACCCTCAGTGTCACCTTTACACTGGAAATAAGCTATTGAAGTGCAGATCGCACTTCAATAGCTTATAGCTGGGCTGCAGGAGCCCAGAACTGACAGCCCAGGGACCGGAAGTGATGCAATCTGCATCGCTCCCGGTCCCATAGAACGGGGAGGGGATCGATGAACGGAAGTTCGTCGACCTCCTCCCCAGCTCCCCGCGGACACAAAGATCGCCGGTCCCGGGCCCGTAGGAGGGGCAACGGAGCCCGGGAAGCACGGCGGGGGTGTCCGGGGGGGGGGGCGGCCCCTTCTTCGGGACGCAGAAGCGATCTGGCGACAGGTAAGTCGCCAGGATCGCTTCTGTTGTAAAGCCGACAGTCGGCTCTACAAGTTTAAACAGAGTCCCGGCGGCAAAAGTCGCCGGGAGTCTGTTTAAACAGCCCCGATGCTGGCGACGTACACTGTACGTCGTCAGTCACGAAGGGGTTAAAACAAGCCCTCACTGACCGCTGCAGCTGCAGGTACTGTGGAACAATTCATCCCCAAAGTTAACAGCAGAAGCCCGGATATCAGAAGCACTGGAAGAGGGAGCTTGGTTCCTCCTCTTAGGAGTGACTCAGCAGCACAGCTCACCCTGCTCTGTATGTACTTTACACATTATTTGCTGGGAGGGACAGCAGGGTGAGCTGAGCTAAGTCAGTGCTAGAAGGGGACAGGGTGTCAAGCCACTGATGGGAAGGAGAGCAGGACGAGCCAAGTTGGCTTAGAAAAGGATTTCACTGCTTTGGTTGTGAACTTTGAGGATGAATTGCTCCATTGTGCCTACAGCTACCAGTTTCTAGAGATGCAAGTATACTTCTGTTCCAGGGAAGTGCCGCTAAGATGATTTATTTAGGAGACTGTTAGGGTGCTTCATGCAACCCAGAGAATGTGTTTTCATCATTAAGCTACTGCAGGAGATAAGACATCCTCCATGGGGATGGGGAAAGTGAATGCGTGCTATGCTAATGCACACGTACCCCCATACCCAGAAGTACTTATTTTTCTTTACTCTGGTACCAAATGGGGCAGAAGGAGCCCGGGGCATTTATTCTGTACACTTCCGCTTCATAGTCAGAGCTCTAGCACACCTCTCGTAGCCTCAATGCAGCAGGCTGGGATTCTTCAACCAATAAAGAACAATGCAGGGGGGTGTGCCAGTGCTCCGACTTCAGAGCAACTCAGTGGTTAGCACTCCTGCCTTACAGGAGTTAGCACTCTCTCTCTCTCTCTCTCTCTCCAGCGCGCCCGCAGTCTCTGACCCTCGCTCTCCAGCGCAGTCTCTGACCCTCGCTCTCCAGCGTGCCCGCAGTCTCTGACCCTCTCTCTCCAGCGCGCCCACAGTCTCTGACCCTCTCTCTCCAGCGCATCCGCTGGCCACAATTAAGGTTCCCTGTGACCCATGAATTTACAACCACTGTTCTAACAGCAAATTAGCAATGTTCCTTCCAGTGTAAGGAGGGGCAGCATTGCCAAGAATTAGTGTACACACTGGGCACCATTCACACCTCTGGGTCAGGTGACACAGACACAGCACCCCCCATGACGCCCATGTGCATGCAATCAATGAAAGATTCTGATGAACCATTTTGACACCCATGGCCGATCCCAGGGCCAAAGCTGCCAACCCAGCCTGAGGACTATGTAAGCTGACAGCCATGCCCTGTCTACCTCATGCTGCCCCATCTCTACCTCTGGAGGGCAGTCTGTGCACCCCAGCCTGGAGACAGCCCAGTCATCTGCAGACAGGACAGAGTGCTAGCTCCTAGGTGTCCCCAGTGGGGAGAATGCAGGGGGCCGGGAGAAAGACTCAGCACTTACCTCCCGTTTCCCCCCCGCGGCCCTCTAATGCCTCCAGCGGCTCCTCTGCGGGGGTAAAACCAGCCGACAACGCCTGGCAGGATGGAGAGAGGAACCCCACACACACCCTAACCTCCTACCGCCAGCGCCCAGCTCCTCTCAGCCGTTCTGAGAAGCTATTGGGCCAGCCCCGACCAGACCCTTCCTGTCAGTGGACGGTCAGCTTGTCACTCAACTGCACACCCCGCCTCCTTCGTCCCCCAGCTGTCAAGGTAGGTTGCAGCAAAACAGCGTTGTCCGCGCCCCTAAACGTGACGTTCAGGGAGGCTATTGGGCGAGCCGCAACTGTGTCCTTTTAGGAACGGGCTAAGGGGGCGTGGCTCGGCGTCGCGACGTCACCTCGCACGCTCGCTTCCAAGATGGCCGCGCGGGGATCGCTGCGCTTGTAGTGTACCGATTACCGGCGGAAGCTTCTGGCTGGCCGGAGTCTGAGGAGAGCGGGTAAGTACTGGAAGGCACGCACAGACCTCTGGGGACAGACGGGCGGGCCCGAGGACCCCCAGCTTTGCTTGCAACTACCACAGTTACCTATGAGTGTGCTGGGCCTTGTAGTTCTGTTAGAGCTGGAGGGTCATGTGACTGGCTGTCACGTGCCCTTAATTTGATAGAGTCCCCGGGGTCTCCAGTAGGCCGCACACACACACCTCACAATCTGATTGTATGATCTCCTTCATTGACGTTTAATGGGAACATGTCATCCTGTCCATTCAGCCATGTATATGAGGATGCCAGCCACTGACAGAGTGTAGAAACCCGGCCAGTGGCATTTCCAGGAGTAGACTTCCTGTTTCTGTTATGGCAAGTTTCCTTCAAAGCTTAATGGGGGGGAATTTATCACAACTGGAGAAGTTGCCCATGGCAGCCAATCAGCATCCACCTTTCATTTTCAAACCTTTGTTGTTTTTTTTAATGACATACCTGATTTCAGTGACATCATGCCTCTGTGTGTCTCTGAGCAATGCAGGCAGACCATGGCTGGCTGGGTGCTGTACAAAACATCACAGCACCTTGCCTCAGCACTCCTCTCAAGAGCCCTCAGCCCTGATGGAAGTAGTGGGCTGGCTCTTGGGACGTGTTATGCAAATATCAGAATCTATTTGCATGCAGACCATGCTAGACAGCCAGATGTGATGCTGAGCCTCCTTGATTAAAATAACTGCAATTCAATGAATGAAAGGGGTGGGCTCAGTGACAGTCAGGCTGGGAAGGAGAGGGCTGGATGTTGCTGGATGTCCTCCAGCCAGGAAGTTAGATGCCGTCTGACTTGCTGTAGCTCCTAATGCACATTGTGAGAAGCTCGCAGTGTGCAGTGAAATCAGAGGAAGCCATTTCAGGAGAGGAGCCGGTACAACTGTGCAAGACTGAAGGGAATGAAAGGGTTGATATTGACTCGCCTAAGTCTGCGCTCCTTCTGGCAATGGAGACTGGCGGCCCATTGTTGCTGCATGTGCCCGCTCCCACTTCACAGTGACATCATCCCGCTGATGGGCAGCCAATGAGAAGTGTGGACATGACCCAGAAACTGAAAGAAGGACCCGCCCACTTTGCTGTTACAAAACACTTAGAGCCCATCACATCATGTGACCCTGGACTTGGTGAGTATTTCTTTTTTTTTCTTCAGAATATGGTTTTATATTATGTAATGCCAGGATTGGTTAGAGGTGGCTATTGTTGGGGGGGCGTTTATTGTTGGCTGGAGTGACACTTTAAGAACACAATAAGTAGAAGGGGGACATATCATACATAACTGCCCCATGATGCATCTAGGCCTGAGAGATGAAGCGGAGAGCTTCCAAGAGACATAAGAAACTGTCAGGCCAGGCCACCGCGCGGCAATCATGCAGATAGCCGCACGTTCACGTAATCGCACACCACCGCCGATTGCGCTGCCAGTGCCATTATTTTCTAATGTCGCCCCGGACAGATTGCGCGGCTTTCTCCTGCAATACTGCCCGTGCAAATAAAAAACAAACACATGTACCTTTTTTCAGCGATTGCCGCGCAAATGTAATCCGATTTGAAATCAATGAGGCCGCAGGGCAGCCGCTGTGTGCACCCGCATCACCGGGATCACCAAAGCCTGCACCTGCACTTAGAGGATGTAAATCTCCGGCATCTCCCGGAAACTCAAACAGTTTTAGGTAAATAGACCATTCGTGAAGCTCGTTGTAATATTGCCATTCTTCATTTTCTTTCAGATCATTTTCATGAGTGGAAGTAGCCGTGATGAAGGAAAATAAGGAGAATTCCAGCCCCTCTGTGGGGTCCAGCACGTTGGACCATGCCAAGCCCTGCTGGTATTGGGATAAAAAGGATTTGGCTCACACCCCTTCTCAGCAGGAAGGCCTGGACCCGGCCACTGAAGCCAGATACAGAAGGGAGGGAGCTCGGTTCATCTTCGATGTCGGGACTCGGCTCGGCCTGTATCCTTCTGTATTATAGTTACTCATGTATAGACTCATTGTCTATACATACACACAATTCAGTGGTTGAAGCGCAACTCCGGCCGAAAGTGACGCTCTGTCCTCCTCCTCACAAGCAACCACTGGCGTGTGTTTGTAAATATATATTGTGTCTCTGAAGCTTTAAATAGACTCGCCATATACAAATGTAACACACAATCAAATGTTCTTGGCAACCCAGGTATTCCCATTGTGTGCCAGGTATACCAACTCTTTGCAGCACTGGTGGTCCCTGGAATCAAGGCCAGGTCACTATCTGCATGGAGTTTGCATGTTCTCCCTGTACTTGTGTGGGTTTCCTCGGGGTGCTCTGGTTTCCTCCCACACTCCAAAGACATGCTGGAAGGTTAATTGGCTCTGTGTGTATAGTAAGCTCCTTAAATGCAGGGACTGATGTAAAGCGCTGCATAAATTGTTGGTGTTCTATAAATACCTGTAATAAAAAGATGTGTATATCTTCCACTTTTCTAGGCTCATCAGCCTCCCCTAGCGGTGCCGAGTGTCAGCTTGGGGTGGGATGGGCTGGGGGTATGGCCACGAGGGAGCTCCATCCTTACGTGCATTGCTTACAGCTCCCTCACGTGTTCCTTGCCATTAACGCACCTTACCACACAATCGCACCTACCACGCATTCTGGTGTGGGAGGTGTATGGTATTGCTATTCATTTGAATGGCACCCCAAACCCCACCCACAGTTTGATCGCCCGCACCGGAGCGCACGGTACCACAATGACGTGCATTTCAGTGCGATGCGACTTGGGTCACGACTTAATGACCAACGACAAATGTGGGTCCTGAAGTTACACAGGTTGAGAACCACTGCTTTTAAAGTATATTCATATGTTCTAAGAAGTGGTTGTGTGTGTTTATATTTGTATGCCTTTTGTTTAAAACTTTATTTGTACAGTTTTTGTTGGGCTATGAGCAGTGATCTCTAAGGCCCCATTCACACCTAGGCGTATTGTAATATGCCCGTCTGTCGCACGTTTTTTTTTACAGCGATTTGCGGTAAAAAAGTTGCGCGACCCCGAAGGCTACTTGGCTGTATCCCAATGGAAAACGCCCTACAAAATGTCCCAAAGTAGTACCTGGACCTTTTCAGGCGTGGGCCGTTTTGTAGGGCGTTAGGGACGGGCGGAAATACGGACAGGTGGGAACGATACCATTGACTACAATGCAATTTATATTTTTGACCGTTTTGTAGAGCGTTCGTCGAGCGTAGAACGCGCTACAAAACGGTCAGGTGTGAGCGAGGGCATAGACTTAAGAAGAAAAAAAAAGAAGGAATACTAAAATATATATAACACACACACTTATATAAAGGGGTACGCAATAACTTTTAAAGATTTGATTTTCTTTAACACGACCTTCAGACATTATGACACGCTAGCTACTGGGATTATATATTTTCATCGATTCTATATGTTTCATTCTTTTAAACAATTTGCAAGATATGTAAGTATGTTAAAAGTGTTTGTGTAGAGTTTTGTAGTTTTTGTGCCCGGTATCTTTCTGTCTTTCTACAGTGTCCTAATTTTCTCATTTGTCCTCTAGGTAACCGGTGCCTGCTGCCTGTTCCTGGCGGGTAAGGTGGAAGAAACCCCCAAGAAATGTAAAGATATTATAAAGACCGCTCGCAGCTTGTTAAACGATGTGCAGTTTGGACAGTTTGGGGACGATCCAAAGGTAAGGACATCACAAGGTAATGACCTCACAGGCTGTGCTTTGTAAATGGCAGAGATATTGGGAGGAGATACAACACTGGGACTGTTATTTGTAACACCAGGATTTGGGCTTTGAAGGATAAGTGCACTTTAAAACATCATTTATCCCTTTTGCCCCCCTTTATCATAACCTAACCCACCCTCCCCCTGCACAGATGCATACTTACCTTGAGGGCCACAGTTCCACTGTTTTGTTTACATTCAGCACTGGCTGCACATGGGCATTATGTATGGGACGGGTCTCTGCTCTGGGACGCAGCCCTAGAGAAGCCTATGCGCCCAGGGCAGTGAAAATTAGCAGTGCTGGATGTAATAAACAGCAGAACCACATTTGTTGGATAGAGCTAAGTATGCATCTGTAAAGGGGAAAGGTATGTTAGGTCAGGGAAGGGAGAAACTTTGTCTTTAGTTGTACCTATCCTTTAATTTGTTAAAATGTGTCTTGTGTTAATTTGTTAAAATGTGTCTTAGATTCAAACAAACATTGACAAGAAAGGAATATTAGGACTCTGGCCACAAATAATGTTCCTTCCTGTCTCTCCATAGAATAGAGCACATTTGTCATCTGGTCACACAGACTTTCCATCTGGTCAAGTATAAGTGCTTGTTGTTGCCATCTATTTTATTGCAATGGTCCTCCATACCTGGCAACCAACGTCGTTGCAACTGTTCAACCATATATGACCGACTTTGTTTTATATTCGGCCCCTTTTGGTATCTCATCTGTTTTTTCTTTTTGTCTTCTCTTTTATATACAGTGTTTTTTTTTTTCTTTTTGTCTCTAGGAAGAAGTCATGGTTCTGGAAAGGATTCTTCTGCAGACCATCAAGTTTGACTTACAAGTAGAACACCCCTATCAATTTCTTCTGAAGTATGCCAAGCAACTGAAAGGTAGAGGTACCTGCATGATAGCCCACACATTCGGCCATGTCAATATGTAATGCAAGGTGTAACTGATGTATTTTTTTTTCTTTTCTGCAGGAGACAAGAACAAAATCCAGAAGTTGGTGCAGATGGCATGGACATTTGTTAATGACAGGTAGGACTCATGTTAGGGTTTTCGATATTCCCATTCTGCCCTTTATACCACCATGGCCTCAGACATCCTTTACATTCATTTTAAAACCCCTCCCCTTTTTTTCTTTTTCTTTCCCATTTTAGCCTCTGCACTACGCTGTCCTTGCAGTGGGAGCCGGAAATCATTGCAGTAGCAGTCATGTATCTTGCTGGAAGATTGTGCAAATTTGAAATACAAGAATGGACGTCAAAGCCGATGTACAGGAGGTGGTGGGAGCAGTTTGTCCAGGATGTGCCAGTCGATGTTCTTGAAGGTATTTTGTGTACTTAGCATCACTGTACTTGTGGGAGACCGAGGGCTATGCATTCTGGGATTAGCACACGCATAATAACCTTCTTTAAAGTGACCTATTCCTCACTGAGTAATTATTGTTAAAGCGGCTGTTTTTCAGTTTTGTATGGACAACCTAGCATATAGCCAGGAGTTAATGGACACTGAACTCAGGAGTTACATCTTAAAAATGCATCAAGTATCTGAACTGTTAACAGGAACTGGACCTTATTTGTGTATCCAGAAGGAAGGACAGTGTCAGCACCAATTCAGAGATGATTTGAGGATCTACAGTCGAGTGATACACAAATAAGATACATTGTTGTTTATGGTTGGGGCTTGTTCACACTGAAACCGTGTGCATTCCAGAGCGATAGCTGCTGGAACGCACCGCGATCGCTGAGAAACTTCCCCTTGCGTTTTGGGGCGGGAGGGGGATTGGCGCTGCATTGTATTCAATGGCACTGCTTCCACTCCCCCCGCCCGCAGTGTGATCCAACGCGTGGCAAAACTTTGCCAACGTTCCACTGCAAACGCAAAATATAGGGCAAGCCCTATTTTTTGCGTTTGAAGTGGAACAGAACACTGGCAAAGTGTTGCCAGGCGTCCGATCGCACGGTGGGCAAGCGTGGAAGTGGTGCCGTTGAATACAATGCACCGCCACACCCCCTCCCGCCCCAAAACGCAAGGGGAAGTTTCTCGGAGATCGCCGTGCGTTCCAGCAGCTACCGCTCTGGAATGCACACGGTTTCAGTGTGAACAAGGCCTAAAGGTTCTTGAATGTATTTTTAAGATTTAACTCCTGAGATTAATATCCCCTAAATCATGAAAGGTCCACTACAAGTGGTGACAGGGTCACTTTAAAGTAAACCTGTCACTAACCTGGCACCAGTCGAACAGACGTTTTGATGAACTGCATAAGCAGTAAAAAAAATAACAAAAAAAAGAGTGATCAATTGTGACATTGATCAGTAGTTCTAAAATTACATACGTGAAGTTATGTGCAAATCTGAAGTTTTCGTGTAAATTCTGAGCTTCATCTGAACCATCCTGCTTTCTTAATCTGTATATTGGTTCTTTAATGTGGTAGGTGGCCCCTAAATAATGGGGAGGCATCCATGGAAAGGACCAGCTGCTGTTTCACTTGACGCTTATGGACTCATTTCCTGCTGAGTGGGAGGTTCTGATAGTTAGATTCACATGATCATACTGCTGGTTGTCTGCAATTCAGATGAGCAGTAAAATGATTTGCATACTGGAGGTCTGCACTCAAACTGTACAAAACATTCCCGATTGTTTTCAGTGTTAACAAAAGGGAATATTCAACTTTTTTTTCTAGTTATATGAAGTGATAGATGTCAGCGGGTTAAAGTTGGTCATTTTGTTATTGGTTTATTACAAAATGGCTCGTGTAACAATTGAATATGTATTTGAGCATTTAAATTGCCCATCTCCGGCAATTATTTCTAATGCCAGTGATCACTTGAGGTGGGTGGGGGGATAGGTGGAGCCTGGAGATTTGCTTTCATTTACCAACAAAGCTATTTTTTTTAATCAAATGTACTGTTTTTTCAGACATCTGTCACCAGATCCTGGACTTGTACTCTCAAGGAAAACAGCAGATGCCACACCATGCCTCCCAGCAGCCTTCGCCCCAAGTACAAGCACAGATTGCCGCTGTACAGCCTCTGCTGTCACAGAACTCCGACACCCAAGCAGCTCAGACGAAGGACCCGCTGCAACAACAATCGGCTGGACAACCAGCTAAGAAACCCTCTCCACAGTCCAGCCCACCAAAACAGACCAAGAGGCCTCTGGTATGTCTCTTGTACAGAAGCTGTCTGCATTGTCCTTAGCATATCGCCATTTCTTTCAAGTACAGTATAGGAGGGTAAAAGGTTGTTTAAAGTAACTATGTTGTTTCTCTTCTTTAATAAATTAAATAAAAAGGGGAATCCGGTAACTAGCGGCAACCTGATTGGACCTTCATGTTGCTGGAGCAATGTCTTGCTCATTAGCCTCTTTGTACCAGTAGGGGTTGCTCATTATGAGAATATTGATAGAGATGGAGACCACATTGGGCTTTCCTGCAGTACATAATAGACATCCCACCTGTCGGAAGAGGCACCCATCTTTAATGAGAGGACATGGGGCACCAGATGTAGAAAACTATTCACGTGCCTCATGTGGTGCTCAGGCATGCCAGGTGGTGCTCAGGAGTTTGGTCAACATAGGATGGCCAGTTCTGTTCATTGTTTTGCCGTACTCGCTGCAACTATTTAATTTTTCCTGAGTAGCTAAGCTTACCTCCCTGCCAACATGCTGTGGAGAAGAACAATTGCTCTCTGTGGTGAATCGGTGGTCTCTCTGCAGAGGTCTGACATACTCCCTGCTGAGTCAAACCATAAACCCTGCATTCAGCAAAACTCATGCTCCCTGTTGATTGGAGAACTCTAGTTCAGACTTTGCGAGAAGCATCGGCATTATGCAGAGAGACCACTGCTTCCAAAGCGAAAGGCCCTTCTCTGCAGCATGCTGGCAGTGTACAGGCGTTTCTGCTCAGACTGGTTCCTTTCTAAACAAGATAAACTATAAGACCTTGCACACTTCTTGTTTCTTGATCACATTTATCAGATTAAAGCCCAACCAATCTTTCACTTCAAAGCTCTGAAACCATTTTAATATCTATGTATTATTGTTTTTTTCAGCCTTCGTCACCCAAAGAAGAGGGAAAAACGCAGGGTATGTATCGATTCATATCTAATCTTTAGTGTTTGTTCCACGGTACATTCTCATTATTAATGTAGAGCCCCAGTCAACACTGTTTTGAAAGCTTTGAAAGGAGTGGGACAGGTTAAAGCCTATTTATTTACTCCATTTCCTTTGGGGATATTTTCTTTTTCTGTTGTACCCCCAGCACAGGAAGTGAGGAAGCTTTTTCTCACAGATGGCAGTAAAAGCATGTTTATTAGCAAAATGGGGAAAAGCTAGAACTACCCCTGATCAAGTTTTTATTGCTGCCTGTGTTCATGTGCTTTGCCATCACTTCCTGCAGGAAATGGTGGCAAATCTCCCCAACAGGGACATGGCAATACAAAACATATAAAGGTTTTAGTTGTTTCCCGCCTTGTGCAAAAATGAACAAAAGAATAATTTGGCTTTTACAAACCCACCATAGCCAGAATTGCTTCATATATTAGAACAAAAATGAAAGCTAGAGATTCTTCTCTAGCTAACACACCATATTGATTCTTCCTCTGGCGCGATATGAAAGAGAAATGTCTCTGTAATAAAAAAAAATGTTGTCTCAGTAATTTGTTGTATCACAATTATTATAATCTTTTTTCCATTAACTCCATGTCTTTTATCTCTTTGCAGAGCAACCATTAAGTAAAATGCCTAAAATTGAGACTTCTCACCCACCATTACCGCCTGTCCATACCCCATCAGGTGAGAACATTTCTATACTAATATTTATGGGCTCTTCCTGTTTTCAGACCTTTTTTTGTGGCCATTGGCTTCAAAGCCACCCTACAGCCAGGAGAAAGTGCGGGTCTCGGGCACCCATACAGCTGTTAATTGTCATACGGTTTGCATACCTGACCAATATTATTATCCACATTACTCCATTTTATAACCTTTTTATGTGCTCTCTAATCGCAGTAAGTCCTATCTCATAGACTATATAGATGTAGCAATGGAGTAAGCACACCAAAGAGTTCAAAATACTGCAGCAGCATAACTATCAAGTTGTCACACAGCAGGGTTTTTCAAAGCAATATTACTAAATATTACACAGTTGCTATGCTATAACACTAGATGGTGCAATTATTAATTCTGTCACATGGCAAAATCAATTCTAAACAGGGCCTGTGAGACAGATTTATTGTAAGGTCACAGCATGAGTCTTAAATTCAGCTCAGTAGCATTGTGACCGGATAAAACGTGACCCTGCCCACTTCTTAGAAGAGAGCTATGGCCAAACCTATTTTTGGCTATAGTTTTCTTTAGTTTCCAAACTCCGTATATAGTGGGCTACATGCTATATCGTCAGGATCCACACCGCCGCCTGATTGACAGCTGGCTCTGCCTCTCTAGAGCCAGCTGTGCCCACTTCCTTTCCTTCTCTGCCCTTCCAATGAACACTGGAGGAACAGTGAGAGGGGAATCCCTGCGGAGACTAGTGACTGACCGTCTCCGCTCTTTGCAGGGAGGAGCCATGAGCTTTGTCTATATAGTTCTCTTTTAAAAAGTGGTCAGGGTCAGTTTTTACTCTGCTGCTTCTCCTTCAGAACTGTCTCTGTGGCAAGATATATAGACCTATGTGGCTGTATTTCTGGGCAGCCAAGTGTAACCATTTGCAAGGACATCTACGGTGTCACATGCTGGTTTCTGATCGCTCAGTTCTCGAGATATAGAGCCTGCATGTGACAGCTGCATTGTCCCACGCCGGCTCAGACTATTGGGAAGTGTACATTTTAGTCTCCCAATAGTTCTCCTTTTAATTGTGTGACTTTTTAGAGCATCTTTAGTAATAAATCGGTCTTTAAATTTTGCAAACTGTTACACTCGGCTGCCCAGAAATAGACGCACAGGTCTATAAACCTTGCCACAGATACTTTTCTGAAGAAGAGGCCTGACAAACTGTATCACTGATTTGCTTGATCAATGCCCCCCACACCATGTTTTTTGAGTAAAAGGTCTTAAATCTGCATTTTGAATCTAGTAAATTACTTACACACATGAAGCAAAACTTAATGTACAAGAATTTAAAAAAAAACCTGTCAACTTGAGTGCGAGCCATAGAAAGCAGTGAAATCAAAGTGCAGGTCTCTCCTCTGCATTTTTTTTTTTTTGTATGGTCAGTCGGTTGGGGACATTTCAGTCTTGCAGATTGTGAAACGATTTCTTTTTCTTTTTTTTGTGCATCTAGAGCGAAAACCTCCTCTGGCGCCTGGAATTGTAGCAGTAGAGGGAGAGCCCACCAGTGTTTCAGAAACCACCGATTTAGCAAAACTCCCAATTCCTCCGCCTGCTCTTCCTACCGCTGTCCATCAGCCACCTCCTCTACCACACCGACCGCCTCCACCACCTGCTAGTTACATTACTGGCATGTCTACAACCAGCTCCTACATGTCTGGCGAAGGGTACCAGAGCCTCCAGTCTATGATGAAGACAGAAGCACAAACATATGGAACTTTGCCCCCTGCCTACGTCCCGCCTTCTCATCTACCATATCACCCCCATGTTTATCCACCTAATCCTCCGCCAACTGTACCCCCACCCCCATCTACATTCCCACCTCCTAACATTCCTCCTCCGGCTCCAGGCTATCCCCCACCCCCTACTTACAACCCCAACTTTCCACCTCCTAGACTGCCCCCAACTCACACCGTTCCAAATCACCCACCACCAGGAATTGGCTTGCCACCGACGTCCTATCCTCCTCCTGCTGTACCACCAGGAGGCCAGCCTCCAGTCCCTCCTCCTATTCCACCACCAGGAATGCCACCTGTTGCAGGTTTAGGCCGGGCAGCCTGGATGAGATAGCATGGAGCTTCTGCGGTATGAACCTGAACTCTCAAAATAAGTATTGCTCTAAACCGTTTAAAAGCCCAAATAAATGCAGACGTGCTTGTTTTATAATATGTAGATTGTTTTAAACTGCACAGCCCAACAAGTACAATGGTTTCCCTTAAATGGAAGCTCCACTAAGTGCTGATCAGTGGGACTGGAGCAGATCAGGTTTACTGTTTATATAACCATTGCCCTCTTTTTCTCTATTGTTCATTGACAGACATGGCTTGATATCAGGCAGTCTAGGGTTATGCTGCCTACAGGAGTGCAAACTAGGTACGTACGAAACTGAGAAGCAGCCCCCTTGAGGCTATGACCCTTCAAACTTGCTCAGTATCGCTTAGTGTCCTTATGAGAATGGATGTTCCTTCCATTCTGCTATATAGTGAGGGTAGAGCAGGTGAGTGTAGTGTTTACATTCCCTTTTTCCCCAGTCATCCCCTTTTAAAGAGTAACTTCAGGTGCCAGTCAATGAAGGCTTGTGCTGTCTAGAAAACATTGGATTGGTGCCGTCAGAAATTTGTTCCTAGATGAGCTGTGTCAATGTGCTTTAAGCTGGTGTTAATTATATCAGTTTCAAATGCTTCTGAGAATTCAGAATTCACTAAGGGGTAGCCGCTGATCTGCAAATGAAAGGGGGCAGGACTTGAACTGTCAATCACCCGTACTGATGAAAATGTTGAGCTTGGAGGCACATAGTGACTGAGTGTAGCTATATCTGCACTTTGTGGTTCCCTGCCACGGTGGGTTACGTGTTTGGGGACTCTAAATGGGGAAATAGCTTCTTTAAAATTTAGCAGTAACTACCAGCAAGGGGATGACACCTTTGTTATACTGCTTTGGGAAGGGGGAAATTACCTTTCTTAGTTCCTGCAAGGGAAGGAAAAATAGTTTTACATAATCCATTGCCCTGATGTAGTAATACGAAAAAGCCTGTAGACTCCTAGACCCATGCCCTTCATACTGCAGTGTGTACGGTTGGGACTGCAGCAAATCTAGAGAGCAGGTAGTGCTCGAAGCATGGAACACACTTATGTGCACTTAAACAGTCTTTGTTTCGGGGCCATTCACCAAATGAGGATACCGGCAACCACAGGCGTTCAGCTAGCACAGCGTCCAGGGCAAAAGACGAATGAGAGGATGAAACGTAGAGCCAGATAACATCCCACAGGTTAAACACACAATGTTCATTCATGTTTGACTTGCGTGTCATTTAGTCCCAGTTCCCAGAAGTGTTGGGTCTCGGATACATCGGCCCACACAAGGCACTCTTACAGAGCAACTGAAGGCAAAAGTTTTGTTTTGGATAGAGTGGAGGGAGATTAGAACCCCTGTCGTGGTCTTATTGGTGTGTTTTTCCATGTTTTGTCCTGGTGCCCATTATCGTTAAAGGAAAGAAAATCCAAAATTTTGGGTTGTGATCAGGACAGGAATAGATGGGAAATCGTTCTGGTGACCCTGTTGATCACCAGAGATTTTCCCTCCCTGTTTTGTCTATCGGGACAGGAAGTGATGGAAAATCTCACCAGTTGGACAAAAATAGCTGATGGGTTATACACCTCCCTTACCCTCTCCAGAACTTTTTTTTTTTTTAAATGTCTTCTACTTAAATGGCCATAAAAAGCCACCGTTACTACCTGCTACCCAGGCATTGATCAGCAATCAGTGGAGCCTTGCAGAAAAGTGGAATACCAGACGATACTTTTTTTTCTTCCAGTTTGGATACAATGGGGAAATGCATTAGAATCACTTTTGTTGTTTTTTTTTTAAAGGATTAGAACTCGTCTCGTGTTTTTAGGGGGCAGAATTGACGGCAGGTCTCCCAGACTACAATAAAACCACAAACTGTTTTGTAAAACTTTATTATTCCAGGACAAATGTCAAAGAAACCGGCCTGGGATTTCTTAATTTGAGACGTTTCACCCACTACTGGGCTTAAATGAGAATTATGGGGCGAGTGAGAAATACTCATCCCCATAATTCAAGCCGACCTGTGACAATGAAACGGTCACACATTGGCTCTATTGATCGGGAAGTGAGAGAACACATACCGTCGCTCGCTCACTTCCCGATAGTCACCACTCCCCGCAAGTATTCTCCCCTCTCTGATCCTCCAGCGCTGACTGGCTCTCCCTCTAGATAGGTAGAGCCCAGTGTCAATCAGCCAGCTGGGTGGATCCCTACAGTATTGTCGGGATCCGTCCCGGCTGCGGTCATCTCAGTATATAGCGGGCAATAGCTCGCTATATACTGAGTTTTGGATCACAGGAGGAAGTTAGTATATGTCCTCCCTGTGACCCTAAAGAGAACTATGGGGAAAAACACTTACCCCATAGTTCTCTATTAATGGAAGAGAAAGATTAAGCCCAGTAGTGGGTGAAACGCGTCACCTGGTAGTACCAGGCAGGGCATCCTGAGGTTCGTACTGGAATAATAAAGTTTTCCAAGCGTTGGATGTTTTTCACTGGATGTGTTGACAGCTTGGGATGAGGACCAGCTCTTGCTTGGCTTCTGCAGCTGGTCTGCTGAGAGTGATCCGCTCTATAGGCTTTAAGAGGAATGGAAAACTATTACAGCACACTCTGCCAGGAGTCTCCAGCCCGGGGCCAACCAAACTCTGGCCCTCCCAGCTGTGCTGAAACATCCCATGATGCATCTGTCTCTGGGTGTCGTGGCTGTGAGAATCTTACAATGCCTCATGGGATTGGTAGTTTTACCACAGCTAGAGGGCCCGAGTTTGGTTACCCCCTGCTCTAGCCTTTCCTCACTCTATTCCAAACTAAAAAAAAAAAAAATATGACTTTAATTGCCAAGTTGTGTTTGAAATGTTGAATGTTTCATGATGTCGCTATGTGCCTGGCTGAGAAGATACACTATATATTATTCTTCTGTAGTTTGCGCCGTTTCCTTTCCATACAGTAAAATCCCAGCGCGATTACTGCAAAACCTTCAGAAGTGCCACATTGGCCGCAAATCGTTCTTTTCGCGTTGGCTTTTTCCGAAACAAAGACGGAAATGGTTTCTTTGTGTTTTGACTCCTGTTTTTGTATTTTTGTGGGGGGTTTTTTTCTCCTTTTTTGATTGACAGATTTTGATGCTTTTACAAATGTTTGTAAATATTTTTTTTAATGTAAAAAGAAAGTCTAAATGTAACAGCCGGGTAAAGTGAAGCTGTCACTGTCCATGACATCCAAGTGAATAAAAACACTGAAGTAAAGGCTGGTTTCTTTATTGGGTGGAAGCTGCTGCACCGCGTGGGATTGAAGCGTCACACAAAATCCGCCAGGTCTTTATTAATGCCTCTGGTGGGAATATTTACTCTCACCCTCGTTAGGTTTTTACAGCCACGGGTCTGCTGCAAGTGACACTTTCTGTACTTGTCCTCAGACATCTAGGCAGTGGTGTACTTTGGTTGTGTGCTGCCCTAGGCAAGACTAAACTCGGGCACCCCCTTTAATCTAAATTTGCCCCACCCCCATCCTGTTTAGGACATTTTACACAACCTGTTAGTCACTGGGTACAGCGCACACGGGGTCTCAGGAGAGCTGTGTATAGTCCGTTACCTGCATGCATGTGCTGCTCTTCTTACCTGCAGCTCAAAGTGCCATCAATACCAACAGGATCCATTGCAGGCCCCAGCCTGCTTCTGGGACATCCCACCATCAGATCACATGCTATGGCCAGCCCCGAGCCACCTGCTGCTTCTCCACCGCCTCCTGTACAAAGCCAGCTGGACCACATCTCACTAGGCCCTCCCCTCCACCGGGCAGTTCTCTAATTAGGCAGCTGCTCTTAGGGCCTTGCGGCCGCCTAGTCTGCTTCATTAGGCAGCCTCTGCTGCCTGATTCTGTGCTGCCCAGCCTCGGCCCACCGGGCAAGTGCCCAGTATACCCAAAGACAAGTCCGGCCCTGTCTGCCTCATTGGTTTGGGGCAGCATTTTTTGCCGGCTCCCCCCTGGAAAGTGCCACCATAGGCAAATGCATAGTTTGCCTTGCGGTAGATACACCCCTGCATCTATCCCTATTGTGTTCCAATTGGGGAAATGGGGGCTGTCCTGCTTCAAATGCTCCTTTTATGTAATGACATACCTTCATAGACCCAGTCTGTGTGGACAGTATGGCCCCTTGCTAAGGCCTTGCCAACTGCTATCCCAGTGGCCAATAAAATTGCACTAGTGGCCAGTACAGGCACTCCCACTGGACAGTTGAATGGCAGTTGCTAAAGCTTAGCCATCAGGATTGGTGCTGCAGTCCTGTTTCCGAGCTCAATCAGGTATTGGGGGTATTTTTTTAGGCCCGGGGTAAGTGTTGGGGTAGGGTAAAACCTAACCTGAACACTGTGAGGGGGGTAGTTTGGGTGTAAAGAGTAATGAGAGGAATAGGACTAGTGTAATGGATACAAGGAGTGTTGGAGAAATGTCACAGTTAAAGCGATATAGGAGCTCACTGTAAAATTCAGGGTTGCCTTTATGTCCAGGCCCAAATGGCTGACCCTTGTGTCATGGCTCCTAAAATCAACGTACTGCCCTACTGAAACCTTCCGCAGAAGAAGATGTATTAGCTGCTGGGTGGTGGAAGCCATGACCAAGCTGGGAAGAGGGCAAGATCCAACCAATGGGGGTCATAGACAACAAAAAGGACCTACCTGGTGTTCAGATGGGGACAAGATGTGGGGGTGCTAGGCCATGTCCAGTTACAAAATTCAAACTTGCCATTGCAGACATCCTTCTGAAAATCCCAGTTGATGTCCTGCTGATCCTCTCACACTAGGGCTGCACCGATACTTAGGATTTTCATGAGAACTACCAGGGTTGGAGCGGTTGCAGCTGGGACCGGGCTCTGGCACTCCACCACTGTCCTGAAATCATGAGTCTGTATTGTCCTAGAAAAACTGTCACATGACAATAAACACAAATGTATCGGCGCTTGTGAGTACTTGGGGAAGTATCAGTACTTGTACTTGCAAAATGGTATCGGTACATCTCATATATATATTTCTAAAAACAAAATCATACATTAAAACAGATGTACAATCCCGGGAGCTCCGTGTGCTCCTTACAAATGACAGCGGCCTCCTAACTTTAGAGTTTTTTTTCTAGTCTAGTCTTGGAGCTCAAA